TTGCTAATTATGCAAGTATATGATCTAAAAATGATATGACATAATCATCAAGAGATAAGGTTTCATATAGTCAAGTTGAGGACATAAGTTAATTAGTAAGTTTTTGAGTTATAAGCCAAGTCCTTAGGTGTAGAAATATTTTTGTCACCCACCTGTATGAATTCTAAATAAAACAAAAGCAGGATTGCCAAAGTACAAAAAAAAATTTAATTTAAAATTAATATATAAGAAAAAAAAAACATCATAGCTTCAAAGTTTATAAGTAATTCTACATATTTTTGTTATAATTTTATATATATATAAATTTAGATATAACAAATCGGTTAACTGATATAAATTTTATATAATAAAGAGCTACTAGCAAGATAAATTTTAATTAATAGAAAATACCAAAAATATAATATTTTTAACTGATCAAAAGTAAATGTCATTACTACAATAAGTATGGAACGTTATTTATCATTCCCAGTCAACAAGCATTTTGTCACAGGCCATCTTTTTGTTGTATTGACTTATCAAAATTTTATGACTATTAGTATAATAGATTTATTAAAGCAGCCAGTTGGTATTCCTTATGATTTCTTGTATTCGCAAAATTTTTGATGACATTTAATAAAGATCTTTATTTCGATCAATCGTGGTTGCCGTGATTGATCTGTGAATATAAGCTATCAAACCACATCACTGTTTATTTTATATTAACAAATTTTGCCCGGAACGGGCACGGCATCTAGTGCTTGCCTAAAAAATGCCGACACGTACTTGGGCAATGGTACTAGACATGGCACAGGCACTTGCTTTTGGCACAATGCCAATGTGCCTGGGACAGGCATTTGCAGATAGAAGCAATTTTTGAAGCAAATAAGAGTTGCCGCAGATACAATTGCTAACCTCTTGGCTTGATCCGCGGGTTGACCCACCCACTATCATCTAGGTTACCATTGAACCCGGATCACCTCCCATTGTGTGTGAAGGGATTGGAATCAGTTTAGTCGACTAATTAGTCAACTAAACATAGTTTATTATACAGATTTTTTAGTCGACTAAACGATTCCAATCCCTACGTGTGTGAACCGAGTAACACCCACCTGGGTTCAGTCATTACCGTTATATGCGCATTATACTTGAAACTTATACGTTATATGCATAATGTATTTTATTTCATTAAAAACCTCTTTAGTGCCCGGGTTTAATCAACTTTTACAAGGGTCGACTTTGAAAAATATCCGAATGCTGTAAATTGCCATATAAACTACAGAATAGTTAAAATCCTATATTATAGACGGGAAAGGAGGATATAGTAGCAAAAAGATTTCTGCTTGTTATATATATAAAATTAGTGGTCAATAGATCCTGGGTCTTTTACATTCCCAACTCTGGTATATCAAGGGAAAGGGATCTTTTATACTGTATGTACAGTATGACGATTTACGGTACTAACCGTGATTCTAATCGTAGGAGTACTATTTCTGAGTGTTTACACCTGCTGCCGAAACATAATTTCAAATCCAAACATAATACGAATCCATCCAACTTTAGAGGTTTTGCTGGCAAGTATAGGGATATTGTATACAGTGCTAAACGGTACTTGCTAACTGTTGTAAAACAATATAAAATAATGAGTTGACAATATTAAAGCCATTTCTAAAATTTATAGATATTTAAGTTTTAAAATGGCGTATCTTCATGATAAAAATGAAAAATAAAACGTTCGCTTTCCTGAAACCACCATCCTGAAATACTATCCCTTTCTTCAGACCAGATATATTTCTGACAGTTTGTTTCACCGATAGAAATTTTTACCGACAACTTACCGAAAGGATATTTCCCTGAAATGGTAGGGCTATGCCGACAAAGTTAGTAAGCATTAGCTATAATGCTGGCGATTTAGTCGGTAGGTATTATGTTCTTTCGAGAAAATGGCTTTCGGGAAATCGTACCATAACCATGTACTAAAGTCTTGTAATATTTACATTAGTTACCGGATCTTAAATTATATACAGTATATCAATTTGAATTTATTATGCTGAAATTATGAAAAATTATTCGGCTAATTTTTATCAGATGTCCTGGAATTTTTCGGTAAAAGAGCTTTCAGCAATATATTTTCTAAATAGAATGTCAGAAAAATGTCATTTGGAAAATGACATTCTTTTTTTAATATTGGTAAATGACTTATTTGGAAATTTATTATTGATTAAATATTCGATAAAATGAAATATCGAAATTATATATTGTTAGTCAGTATTATAGCTTCGGCGAAGTGAAATTGGTTTTGGGAAGTTAACTCGTAACCGAAAATAAAATACATGTTTAATAGACCTCGCCAAAAAGTTTTGAATAAAGTATTGTTGTAAAGATACAATTATAGAACTGGTCGATAGATTTGGTATCTTTAAACTGTGTGCACCTACAACAACCTAACCAATTTTGAAGTTTGTACGTACGTACATACGTAGAATTAAAATAAACTCTAAATTATCAAAATTGGTTAGATTATTATCAAATTATTTACTCGTTACTTGCCTAGATTCTTGTTAGTTTTACATTTATAAAATACGTTTGTTCCATTTAAAGAATAAAAAAGGGATATTTTATTCTTAAACGGATAAAATTAATAATACGTCAAATTTATGTCTTGGTGATGCTATTTGGCTACTAAAAGTATATACTCTTTATTAATAACTCTAGCCCAAATCCTAGCCTAACCCCACGAAAAACTGCACTCCAAAAACTCTAAACTTATTAAATAGGTTCAATCCACAGCATCAGCCAATCTCGGCATCAGCCGCAACATTCAATATTAATATTTAGACAAGAGCTGCTCTTATGAATACTAAATAGATCATAGGTACGTTTCATTAACGAGTCACAAATATAAACTTTTTTTTTGTATTTTCATTAAGATATTTCTGTTAATTTTATCAAATGCGCGGGTAATTTTAATATTCCGATAATATTTGGCATTGTAAAAGTAACAGAGTATTGGTATATATAATTTATGTTGTCAATTACTGTATATAACTAAGAGCGAATATAATGTAAATTTTTATTTCGGCTTTTTTTTCCTTTTGTTACACAATATAATTTTTTAACAAAGAACTTTGGACTAGTATATCACAAAAAGGCCAAATTCGCTGTTTAATTGTTAAACATATTGGGATTCGCCGTTCTGCAAGCCAAAACTTTGGGTAAATTAATAAGTATAAAATGGTTTCTCTGGTTATACTCATGTGGTCCGAATTATTTTATAAATATATGTTATGGCGAATTGACTACGACTCGAGAACCATTGATCAGGACCTAACGATTCGTCCTGTCAAGATGAGCCGTTCTATCCTTTGATCACGAGACTTTCATTGAAATAGGATGTGATATTTTGACGTCGATATCGCGTGATGTTTTGTTAGTGTTTGTGAAACGATATCATTTATTCTCTCCACAGTATCAATTCTGGTCCATGAGTCATATGATATATTTGATAACATCGTTATCGAAAGATAATAACCTTATACATAATAACGATAACCTTATACATAACCTTATACATAACGATGATAACCTTATATTTTATATAAACTTAAAAAAATGATGAATTCTGATTTTTAATTTTGTTGTGTTTGTTCATAAAGTTTTTCAACATGCCAAAAAAAAAAAAAAAAAATTTCATATCATACAAGGTGTTTGGCTAATCGAAGATTTAGCCATTAAATGAAAAAGAATCTTAATTGGTTTAAAAGTTTAAAAGGTGTGTGTGTGAATTAATGAAATGGTGATTCATAGTCTAACATATCTACAGAATGAAAAGAAAAAAAAAAAAGTTTTTTTTTTTGACGAATAAAAGATGGTACGACGAAATAACCTCTAATATTATACAAATTATCGCCAAATTTATGTAACCATCTTATATAAAATCGAAATTTTTTTGTTCATTATGATTTGTGTTTATACAAGTTTTGCCAGTTAAGCCAGTGAATCGTTCGTTCGTTTATTAATCGAAGATGTTCAATTATGCCACTTTATAATACGTTTATATTCAAATCAATTGGTTAGAGTGAGGTGTCGAAAGTTGCAATGCCCCCATCATATTCATCGGTGGTTTTGGTTGTGGAAGAATTAACGGAGGTGGTTGTGTCATTGTGGATGAATTTGGTAGAACAGAATTACCGCGATGGATCTTAGGTTGCGGTTGAATAGACTGTTGATGCATCGCTGTAAGAGCTCTCTTCCTAGTCAATTTTGCAAAATCTAGAAATAATAAATAATAAATAATGATTTACAATTAATATAAACTTATGTGTGACTAATTTAGTACTAGCATTTACTTAATTTATTTGAAACTTACGTAAACCACAAGCGTTACATAAAGTTCTGGCACCATCAGGACCTCGACGCCATTCGGGAGTTTCCGATATATTACAAGAGTGACATCTTCCAGGTGGTGCCGCACGTTTCTAAATATCACAAAAAGAAAAAAAAAAGCATGAATTGGTTTCCGTGGCATTAAATTAGAAAACCATTTTTGATAGTGATAAGATTAATTGAGAATTTACACTTCGCTTCCGATATTTTGTTCTCGTTGCTGAAGGGCCAACGGTAGTTCTCTTTGTTCTAATGAGGTTTATCGTTTCTTGATCACTCTGAATGTTTTGAAAAGATTAGAAGATATAACATACCAAATATACCAAATATGCTTTTCAAATATATATATATATATATATATATATATAACATACCGAAGTAGTCTGACCAAGATCACTTTTGATATTATTCAACACACTCAGAATTTCATATGCTTTATTTATCATTTCCGGAACTTGAGCTTCCGGGGACATACCGTGGTTAGGGGTCCACGTATTTGGAGAAAATTGTCCAAATTTATTCATTTGGATTCGATAATCACCATATTGCGCAGCAAATTGGCTAATCAAAGAGCAATGTTCAGTTATCTAAAGGAAAATTGATATGTAAAGACTTGTTATTACCTTTTTTTTTTTTTTTGACAATATTTTTTGACAATATTTTTTAATATTTTTTTTACAATATTTTCTTACAATATTTTTTAACAACTTTAATAACAATTATAGAATTATATAATCACCTTTTGCATATCTGACAAGATTTTCTCAAAGTTTTGTGAATTCAAAGCGGAAGATTGAGAAGAATTCTTTGCAAAAGAATTAGAATGAATATATTCTGGTGGATGAATGTTATTAACAAATCGGACGGGATTTTGTACAGGTTTTACATTAGGACTAGAATTATGAAGTGAGCCAGAAGCTGATTGTCTTGGCGACTGCTGAGGCGCTTGTTGTCTTGACCATAGAGGAGATAAATTATTTTGACCAAAAGTTTCCGAACGACTTTGTTGCAATTGAAGAGGTCTTTCATGATGCAAAGGTGCATTTATCGATTGTTGTGGTGGATAAACATGATTGATAGAAGGTAAACGAACGTCCGACAATACGCGTGACGAATGAACGCCGTCATCGTTGGGAGTCGAAAACGAAGGTGAGGATGAATCTGGTAACTGTTGAACATGTTGCCGTTCGAGATCTTCTTGACGCATGATATTGTAATGTCCTCGAGCATGAGGTGAATTATTTGGAGATTGATGGATTTTTGCAGAATCCTGACAAGCATCTAGTCTATTTTCTGTTAAACTTTCGGAAGTTGGATGAGAATGATGGGTTGGATGCAACAAAACCGATAATGGCGGAAGCGTTTCTTTGGACTCATCAACCGCCTTGTGGCCGCTAAAATCGAACATATCACTTAAATTATTATGTTTTTTTTTTATTTCATTAACTTCTATCAAGGAAGAAAAAAAAAAAAGGAGAAAAAAGAAAATAAAAAAGAAACCGGGAAAAGGTGGATTCGCAAATTCCAAAAAATTAAAAATTTCAAAACACTCCTTATTTATCACTTACCATCTAACTAGAGATGATGTCATTAATATTTGTTTTGAAGTCATGTGATTGATCGAGGGTAACGAACAAGTTATGTTATCCATGTATTCAAAAGGTTTAACAGGGGTAATTCTTTTTTTTTTCTTTTATTTTTTAATTTTATTTTTTTTATTATTATTTATTTTATTGTTATATATATATATTTTTTTTTAACGGAAGGAAAATTTTTGCATAAGGTAACAATCTATATACAAATTCTAAAGTGGTTGTATACGGAAAGAACAAAGTTGTAAATCCAGACTTATTAAAAAGCCGTCCTTTTGGAGTTTTTTTTTGGTCATAAGATTCATTTTTGTTAATGCACAAGAAATGTTACTGCAGAAAGAAAATGTAAAGTATCACATGGCATCACAATGTGTTGATGGTATCGCATTCTTCCCTATCAAATAATGATAATTGCAATTTTTTTAATGAGATCCCCAATATATATTAAAAAAAAAGAGGTTCAAAAATTCAAGCCTTATTAATAATATTATTATTATTAATAATTAGGATATATATATATTATGGAATGACTTTTGTTGGCTGGGGGTGAGGGACCCAGATTATTTTGGTCAAAGGATTCCGCCAACTGACAGTAAATAAATAAAAGAAAAACAATTCCAAAGCACTGCAATAGTTTGATCGAGATTTTTAATTTTATAAATAACAAATCTGGTTTCGCAGCTAGTTCCGAATACTTTTTGTAACATAAACCTGTTAATTCACCAACTTTATCGCCGTAAACAAGTTTCCATAATTTCATAACAATAAATAATCGTGCGTGAATTGACGATGACACAAGTCAAACATTTAAGCGACGAAGAAATCTATGCATATTCGAACCTTGTCTTAAACTCGCAAAGATTTGAGTGTGGGAGCCAATGCGCATTTATCCAAATTTTCATTCACCAACCTATGGTAACACAAAATGACGTATATGGATGTTTTATTGGCATGACATTGGCACAGACAAAATATTTGTATGCGCTTGCAAATTTTAATTATTGTGAAACAAAAGAGTGCATTGCGTCTTAGGACTATCATTATGCGCTTTAATAATAATACATGCTGTAGTGTGACAATTTTTCAAGTTTTGCTTGAGGTTAATAAGATAAAACGCATATATTTGCGCATATATTTTATGAATATTTGATTCATGGGTTCAGAACCCCAGGATTGATTGTTCCATAACACAAATCCGGGAACGGAAATACGGAGCAGCGCGGCCTCCGAATTTTGCACAAAGATTTCCATTGCATGAATAAGATAAGCTAGACTAGAAAATTTCAAACCCAAATCAGTAATTTGATCTCAGGCATCACCATGTATGCCAATGCAGATTAACAGCGAGAACTTGATCGAAATAATCCTAAAGTTCGATCGAATCAATTAATCGTTATTTCGGAGATCACACTTGAATTAATATAGAATGTCGTGATACTAGCGAATAGTGACATGAATCTCGGAATATACATAATTTGATGTAAGAAACCTAATCTTTTTAGTTTTTCGGTTCTTTCCTTTTTAATTTAGTGTCACTAAAAATATGTGTATTTTGTACCAACCTTTTTTTCTGACTTGATCCCCCCTATATAGATAATCGTAGTTTCACCACATAACTTGCCGATTTTATTGTTTTTCTAATCTGTTTATGCTATTGTTTGTCCTAAATTGCTTCCAGCACGAATCCCGATAGTCATGCCGTGATTGATCACCACTATCTAATTTTGGTTTTCACTTCCCTAGCAACAAAGAAACTTTACGCACTGCTTGCAGCCCTCTAATCCTTTTTCAATTAATTGAACTTTTTTAAGTCATGGGAATCTTTCTCTTATTGTAACTATATGAATATCTACTTTGTCTTTATCTAGATGTTTGACCCGATATCTCGTGACCTTTCCAAAAAGATTATCTCTCAAGAATCGTACGTATCTTGATGTAGATAACAGAGATCTATATATTTTTCGTCTTATTAAGATTTAATTTATTAGATCTGTTTGCTTGAATTGGCGATCTTCTTTTTTTGGAAACTTTCAACTCACTATCTTATCATTTCTTTATTTATCTAATTATGGTGTCATGTTAGATTTTAGATTTGGTTCGATTATTAATCTTTTTTTTTTTTTTTTTTTTAACGTTAAGCAAAAAAAAAAAAAAAAAAAAAACTGTTTTTTTTTTTATTTTTTAAACTTTTTTTTTTTTTTCTTTTTTTTTTTGTTTTAATTTTGTTTCTTTTTTTTTTTAAAGTTAAATCAAAAAAAAAAAAAAAAAAAAACTGGTTCTTTTTTAATTTGATAAACCTTTTTTTTATTTCCTTTTTTTTATGGGTAATAATTTGATAGTAATTTGATAAAACAAATTTGATAAAACAAATTTGATAAAAACAAATTTGATAAAATAAATTTGATAGATTGGAAAAATAAATACATACGTACTTACGTTACGTATTTTTAAAATATGTAATTGGTTAATATTGTTTATTGCCAAATATTTCAAGCAAAATTTTAGGTGATATCGACATAAATGTTTAGTCGTATTGTGTTACGAAATTTACCAAAAAAAAAAGGTTTTGCCGCATGCCTAAAAATTATCTTAGATTTTATATTCCCCAAAATATTACATAACACATATCCAATTATATACTATACATGGATTTTTTTTTAAAAAAAAAAAAAAAAAAAAAATTTGTGTTAGAACGTTATCCTTACATATACAGTCGACATTCTTTAAATGAAGTTCCTCGGGCCGAATAAACTATGCATTTAGAGCAAATTGCATTGAAAGTAAAATCTATATTGTATTATATAGTTGAGGCAAAAGCGCTTAAAGAACATTTACTACGTAGACCTGCATTTAGAGACTAACTTTACTTTGAATAAAGTTGGAATCTTAATTCAAATCAATTACGGCGAGTATTACTCTGGCTGCAACCTCTGGTCGCGACCGATCGAAAGTTGCAACGTTACGCAAGGTTGCGGCCTAGCCATAACCGTAAGGTTACAACCTGCCATAACTATTTGCAAAAATTTTAATCAATGATCGTAGATCAAATATAAGAGAAAAAAATTTTAATAACGGTATTACCTAATATCTATTGCAGAACCAAATAAAAAAAATTGATTTGTTGTACCTTATTGTTATCTTTCATAAACACTATTAATCTGGGGAGATGCATCAGATACATGTTAAAACATGTAATAAAACCTGAATCGACAGAATTGTTTGATATTGACGGAAGTGACAATTACAGAAGACACATTATGACTCGAAGATTAGGTGCCACAGAATTAATGGTACTCTTATAACAATACCCCTTAACAAGATCTTCAATCTTGGTACTCCCGTCCCTTCTGGACTAAGATAAAATGACAATGGTGATGATGAACATGATGACGACAAACCACCAGGTAAAGTAGATGGCAGAAAAATTTCGCGATCACATGGCTTACATTCAATTAAATTGAACGAACGCTTATTCAGAATAATTATGTCAGTTCTTGTGGCTAAATTCATGTGATCGCGAAATTTTTTTGCCACAGCTATTTTATACCAAATCTTTCATATTATGCATTATTCGATCCAAACAACCGTGCTAAAATGCTAAATTTGCTATTCATTATAAGACTTTCCTTTTGTTTGTGAGCAATTACATCAGCTAACGATCAAACCTATTTCACACTCGTGACCGTAAAATAGACTTGTTAATCTCCAATTCTTTTAAGTTCACTCCTTACAAAAAATACGAGATCGAAAAAAAATTACACAACGCCTACAAAGGTAGGTTGGAGTTGTTATTCTCTTTAAGATGTAAGTTTGCAACAGATTCACTATGTAAAATTTTATAAAAAAAAAGTGGTTTTTTCAGTATGCACAATAAATTTCTCCAACTCAAAACTATGGCTTATCTTTGCAATCAAGAATTCTGTGCCAATCCTGATCGACAAAATTATCTACATTTTTTTATGGAACTGCTTTTCGTGCTCTAACATTCTGTTCGTAATTTTGATATAAACCTTACTTTAAACCATCTTTTATAAAATTAACTCAATGCAGATCTGCTACAGATTTCTTGCATCAATTCATGTTGATGTCCGATTCTTAACAATGTAAAATTCATTCTACTCTATGCAACATGCGGAAAAACACAAAATAAAATATAATAAAATATTCATATTTTTTAACAGGGCCTGCTGGAACTGGAAGACTTTCTTTCACATGAGACAATTACATTTCTTAAAGAATAAAAAAAATACTTGCTGTGTTTCTATACAAATATAGGCGGAAAACACTCCACTATGTGATAAAAATATCCGTCTCAATGCGATATTATGAACCCTTGACCCATTCTAATACTGTTAATGTGAAATATTCAAAAAAAGAACACATCTTAATCGAAGAAATATCAATGATAGGCGGGAACTAATCCACTTCCACTAGCAAGAATAATCTATTCTTCGGAATTGCGCCAACTTTAGTAGTGGGATCTTGCGCATCACTTCCAGTCAGATCATTTCCCGTTTTTCGATCTCCAGCTCGATCAACCATCTTCCCTTTATCCTTAACTACAACAATAAAGAACCTAAAATTTCATAACGATTACAAGAAATTCGTATCAGAAGACCATCTAAACAATAAATCTAAGATCAACTTAAATGTCGATATCCACAAATTTTTAAAATACTACTCGTCTAGCTGCAAATGAGATTAGCAACCTTCTTATTTACTGTTTGACGAAACTTATACGAGACTTATAATGAACCATTCGTCTAAGCTCTGCAACGGATCAATCAGGAATTGTTAATAACAAAAATGCTGAAGT